GTTCCTGCTAGGAGGAGACGTTCAACGCCGCCGTTCCTCCTAGGAGGAGACGTTCAACGCCGCCGTTCCTGCTAGGAGGAGATGTTCAACGCCGCCGTTCCTGCTAGGAGGAGATGTTCAACGCCGCCGTTCCTGCTAGGAGGAGACGTTCAACGCCGCCGTTCCTCCTAGGAGGAGACGTTCAACGCCGCCGTTCCTGCTAGGAGGAGACGTTCAACGCCGCCGTTCCTGCTAGGAGGAGACGTTCAACGCCGCCGTTCCTGCTAGGAGGAGACTTTCAACGCCGCCGTTCCTCCTAGGAGGAGACGTTCAACGCCGCCGTTCCTGCTAGGAGGAGACGTTCAACGCCGCCGTTCCTCCTAGGAGGAGACGTTCAACGCCGCCGTTCCTCCTAGGAGGAGACGTTCAACGCCGCCGTTCCTCCTAGGAGGAGACGTTCAACGCCGCCGTTCATGCTAGGAGGAGACGTTCAACGCCGCCGTTCCTGCTAGGAGGAGACGTTCAACGCCGCCGTTCCTCCTAGGAGGAGACGTTCAACGCCGCCGTTCCTGCTAGGAGGAGATGTTCAACGCCGCCGTTCCTGCTAGGAGGAGATGTTCAACGCCGCCGTTCCTGCTAGGAGGAGACGTTCAACGCCGCCGTTCCTCCTAGGAGGAGACGTTCAACGCCGCCGTTCCTGCTAGGAGGAGACGTTCAACGCCGCCGTTCCTCCTAGGAGGAGACGTTCAACGCCGCCGTTCCTGCTAGGAGGAGACGTTCAACGCCGCCGTTCCTGCTAGGAGGAGACGTTCAACGCCGCCGTTCTTGCTAGGAGGAGACGTTCAACGCCGCCGTTCCTCCTAGGAGGAGACGTTCAACGCCGCCGTTCCTGCTAGGAGGAGACGTTCAACGCCGCCGTTCCTCCTAGGAGGAGACGTTCAACGCCGCCGTTCCTGCTAGGAGGAGACGTTCAACGCCGCCGTTCCTCCTAGGAGGAGACGTTCAACGCCGCCGTTCCTGCTAGGAGGAGACGTTCAACGCCGCCGTTCCTGCTAGGAGGAGATGTTCAACGCCGCCGTTCCTGCTAGGAGGAGATGTTCAACGCCGCCGTTCCTGCTAGGAGGAGATGTTCAACGCCGCCGTTCCTCCTAGGAGGAGACGTTCAACGCCGCCGTTCCTGCTAGGAGGAGACGTTCAACGCCGCCGTTCCTCCTAGGAGGAGACGTTCAACGCCGCCGTTCCTGCTAGGAGGAGACGTTCAACGCCGCCGTTCTTGCTAGGAGGAGACGTTCAACGCCGCCGTTCCTGCTAGGAGGAGATGTTCAACGCCGCCGTTCCTGCTAGGAGGAGATGTTCAACGCCGCCGTTCCTGCTAGGAGGAGATGTTCAACGCCGCCGTTCCTGCTAGGAGGAGATGTTCAACGCCGCCGTTCCTGCTAGGAGGAGATGTTCAACGCCGCCGTTCCTGCTAGGAGGAGACGTTCAACGCCGCCGTTCCTCCTAGGAGGAGACGTTCAACGCCGCCGTTCCTGCTAGGAGGAGACGTTCAACGCCGCCGTTCCTCCTAGGAGGAGACGTTCAACGCCGCCGTTCCTGCTAGGAGGAGACGTTCAACGCCGCCGTTCCTGCTAGGAGGAGACGTTCAACGCCGCCGTTCTTGCTAGGAGGAGACGTTCAACGCCGCCGTTCCTCCTAGGAGGAGACGTTCAACGCCGCCGTTCCTCCTAGGAGGAGAAGTTCAACGCCGCCGTTCCTGCTAGGAGGAGACGTTCAACGCCGCCGTTCATGCTAGGAGGAGACGTTCAACGCCGCCGTTCATGCTAGGAGGAGACGTTCAACGCCGCCGTTCCTGCTAGGAGGAGACGTTCAACGCCGCCGTTCCTGCTAGGAGGAGACGTTCAACGCCGCCGTTCCTCCTAGGAGGAGACGTTCAACGCCGCCGTTCCTGCTAGGAGGAGACGTTCAACGCCGCCGTTCCTGCTAGGAGGAGATGTTCAACGCCGCCGTTCCTGCTAGGAGGAGACGTTCAACGCCGCCGTTCCTCCTAGGAGGAGACGTTCAACGCCGCCGTTCCTGCTAGGAGGAGATGTTCAACGCCGCCGTTCCTGCTAGGAGGAGATGTTCAACGCCGCCGTTCCTGCTAGGAGGAGACGTTCAACGCCGCCGTTCCTCCTAGGAGGAGACGTTCAACGCCGCCGTTCCTCCTAGGAGGAGACGTTCAACGCCGCCGTTCCTGCTAGGAGGAGACGTTCAACACCGCCGTTCCTGCTAGGAGGAGACGTTCAACGCCGCCGTTCCTGCTAGGAGGAGACGTTCAACGCCGCCGTTCCTCCTAGGAGGAGACGTTCAACGCCGCCGTTCCTGCTAGGAGGAGATGTTCAACGCCGCCGTTCCTGCTAGGAGGAGACGTTCAACGCCGCCGTTCATGCTAGGAGGAGATGTTCAATGCCGCCGTTCCTCCTAGGAGGAGACGTTCAACACCGCCGTTCCTCCTAGGAGGAGACGTTCAACGCCGCCGTTCCTGCTAGGAGGAGATGTTCAACGCCGCCGTTCCTCCTAGGAGGAGACGTTCAACGCCGCCGTTCATGCTAGGAGGAGACGTTCAACGCCGCCGTTCCTGCTAGGAGGAGACGTTCAACGCCGCCGTTCCTCCTAGGAGGAGACGTTCAACGCCGCCGTTCCTCCTAGGAGGAGACGTTCAACGCCGCCGTTCCTGCTAGGAGGAGATGTTCAACGCCGCCGTTCCTGCTAGGAGGAGATGTTCAACGCCGCCGTTCCTGCTAGGAGGAGACGTTCAACGCCTCCGTTCCTCCTAGGAGGAGACGTTCAACGCCGCCGTTCCTGCTAGGAGGAGACGTTCAACGCCGCCGTTCCTGCTAGGAGGAGACGTTCAACGCCGCCGTTCCTGCTAGGAGGAGACGGAGAGACAGGCCTCCGATCAGAGCAGTGAGGACAACAAAGACATCTGGACGTCCTCTTATTGACAGACATTTGATTTAACTGTTTTCTCCTGCTGTGTAAATCAGTCATTTTAAAGAGTTTGGGTTTAAAATTCAAAAATAGGAGGAAATTCTAAAACTGCTGGATGTCATTTTGAAAAGTCTAAAAAAAAAACTAATTCATAAATACTTATAAACCTGTCTAACTGAAGTCATCTATAGATTACTGGGTGGGCGGCTGAGTTTGATAGGTTTGCATAAACCTGAATGATCTTCCTCCAGAGGCTGGAGCAGTGAGGCTAACTCAGATTATAGCTTCAGACAATAACAGCCACCTGTCACCCAGTTCCTCCATGGTTCCCCTTTAAATTCAGAGTCTGGCCTAAAGCATCTGCTCATCATCAGATGTTGCAGCCAGTTGCTTCTATCTGCAGAACCCAGATGTATCAGTTGCAGGTCTTGATTCATCCTCTTACAGTTATTAATCCTCCCTGTTGGTCTCAGGATGCTGATCTGTTTTATTTACTGTTCTGTGTCTCTAATCATCCTACATCACTCGGCCATTTTGTTTTTGCTGAATGCTGATATCTGTCCAAATATACACCCCCATCTGTCTCCATGGATGATGGATGGATGGATGATGGATGATGGATGGATGGATGATGGATGATGGATGGATGGATGATGGATGATGGATGGATGGATGATGGATGATGGATGGATGATGGATGGATGGATGATGGATGAGGATGGATGGATGATGGATGGATGATGGATGGATGGATGGATGATGGATGGATGGATGGATGGATGGATGTCTTTCCTTCAGCTGAATAACTGGCCTTCATCCTCCTCCTCTTCCTCTCTGCAGTGCTGCAGCGTCACTGATCTGGATCATCTACCCTCCTTCCCTCCTTCCTTCTTTCCCTCCTTCCCTCCTTCCTTCTTTCCCTCCCTCCTTCCTTCCCTCCTTCCCTCCTCCACTCTAACCTTTCACTGAAACCCTTCCTGTCGTGAACAGCAGGAATAATGTGAATGAAAGAGGGCAGAGGGGCCCATGCTGGCCCCTCACAGCCAGAACAGTCAGCGTTTGTCTCCTCTGTCATCACTTCCTCAGCTGGAGTGGATTAACATTTCACCCACGTCCCACTAAACGTCCACGCTGATAGGGGGGGGGGGGGTCCATGATCAAATAAAAACATCTAAACACCCAATGAGGAGAGGGATGGATGGGACAGTCCCTCATCCTTCTATTTCCTTCCTTCCTTCCTTGCTTCCTTCCTCCTTTCCTCCCTTCCTCCCTTCCTTCCTTCCTTCCTTCCTTCCTCCTTCCCTTCCTTCCTTCCTTCCTTCCTTCCTTCCTTCCTTTCTTCCTAAAACCTTCCTCTCTTCCTTCCTTCCTTCCTTCCTTCCTTCCTTCCTCCTTCCCTTCCTTCCTTCCTTCCTTCCTTCCTTCCTCCTCCCTTCCTTCCTCCCTTCCTTCCTTCCTTCCTCCTCCCTTCCTCCCTTCCTTCCTTCCTTCCTTCCTTCCTTCCTTCCTCCTTCCCTTCCTTCCTTCCTTCCTTCCTTCCTTCCTCCTCCCTTCCTTCCTCCCTTCCTTCCTTCCTTCCTCCTCCCTTCCTCCCTTCCTTCCTTCCTTCCTTCCTTCCTCCTTCCCTTCCTTCCTTCCTTCCTCCCTTCCTCCCTCCCTTCCTTCCTTCCTTCCTTCCTTCCTTCCTCTTCCCTTCCTTCCTTCCTTCCTTCCTCCTCCCTTCCTTCCTCCCTTCCTTCCTCCTTTCCTCCCTTCCTCCCTTCCTTCCTTCCTTCCTTCCTTCCTTCCTCCCTTCCTCCCTTCCTCCCTCCCTTCCTCCCTTCCTTCCTTCCTTCCTTCCTCTTCCCTTCCTTCCTTCCTTCCTCCTCCCTCCCTCCCTTCCTCCCTTCCTTCCTCCCTTCCTTCCTCCCTTCCTTCCTTGATCAGCACAGAATAATGATCAGCAAACAGAGTCAGTGGTTTTTCCTCTATCCGCCCCTCGCGCCTCGCAGCTCCCCGTTTTTCTCCCCCGCTCAGCGCGGACACCCCCCACCCGCCCGATGGTGTCTTACCGATGTGGATGATGGAGTCGGCGCTCACGGTGTTGCATCCCAATATCCACAGGGAGTGAAACATTAATATCAGCATCTCCATCTCCAGTTCGAGCCCCAGAGGAGCTTCCGCGGATCCACCGCGCCGATTCTTTGCTTCTTTCACTTCTGAGCAAATCCGAGAATAAGCGGCAGTAGCGAAGTGTTGAGCAGAAAACTAAATCCCTCTGAACAAACTGTTGTTCCGATTCAAGCGGAAGGAGGAGGATGGAGAAGAAGAGAGAAGCTTCCAGGGCTCCGGAGAGCAGCAGAGCCGGGAGGTGAGAGGAGAAGAGAGGGGGAGGATGATAGGAGACACCGGGGGTCTGATTCAGAGGTGAAGATCCGCCGGACGAGCAGCTCTGACTCTCTACCTCCGAGTCTGAGACATCACTGCAAACTGCGGAGGAGCGGGAGGAGGGACCTTCCCTCTCTCTCCCTCCCTCCCTCCCTCTCTCTCCCTCCCTCCCTACTTTCTCTCCATCCTTCTCTTTCCTCTCCTCCGACCCACGTGACTGCAGAGCATCTATCTCCTGTGCTGGAAGCCAGAGCAGAGAAAAGCGAGGCACGAGAAGGAGATGGATGGATGGATGGATGGATGGATGGATGGATGGATGGATGGATGGATGGATGGGAGCCGGAGGAGCGCAGAGTATTGGGGGGGGGGGGGGGGGGGTCTCTCGGTGAGGTTTCAGGTGATCCTGCGGGGACAGAGGGAGCAGACTGAACATCCAGGTATTATCTGACTGGAAGCTGATCTATGTGCTGATTTCCTCGGCCTGTGATTCTGCTATCTGTGCGTAAATGTTTAAACCTGTCTGATTATTAATCTCATTACATGAAGGTTACAGTAAAGGCTGCCAGCTTCTCTCTGGTTTCCAGTGCAGGAAAGACCGATTTTCTCCTTGAACTCCTGCGTGAAGCTGCGTTTCCCGCTCAGCACCTTGGAGAGGGTTCCGTTACGCGCCGGGATGCGCTGTGCCAGACTCTGGACTTAATCCTTACATTCAGCTTAACAGGTTTGGTCTTTGCTCCTCTGTAATCTGAATGTGAGAAAGTATAGCAGTTCTTTTTTGTTGTTGTTGTTTGGTTATTTGCTTTTTTGTTGTTGTTTGCTTTACATTATTGGTGCGTAAAAGTGTCTAATCATAAAGAAGCAACGGGTGAGGATTTAGGATCAGAGCAGAGTGGATGAAGACAGCAGCAAACGCCGCGGTCAAACCCGGAAGGCTCTGTGGAGTGAAGCCTCTGGTTAATTGTGTTAAAGTGACGTCACTGACATGTCCTGTAATGTCATTTCAGGAGGCGATCAGCATCCATTGATCGGGGTTTAATGCCACGCAGCGTGGAGAAGAGTGGGAGTGCTGCACCTGGTTTTACAATTAAAGGATATTTCTTGCGACTGAATGAGACTCAGAAATGTCTTTTAATTGTTTGACTACGTGTGGTTTAAAATGCAGAGAGAGAAAAAGCTTTAAAGCTGCGTCCAGATGCGTGTTTCAGCACCACGGGGTCCGGACAGCTCCTTCATGCTGAGGTGGTTTAAAAAAGAAATAAAATAAAAGGTGGTTCTCGACTTTATCATTCATCTAAATCTGCTTCTTCTTTTCTTTGACAAGTTAATGTTTCACTTTTTGTGTGTTTAAGGTTTTTACATATTTAAATGATTTATATTCTTGTTTTTTCTGCCTGTTTAGGTGACAGGGAGGCTCAGGTGTTTGTTTTTACTTTCAATCATCAGCATGAGTCTGATCAATCTGATCAACTTCAGCTCACATTTAAACTTCATGAAAGAGAATTTAATTCATATCAAACCAGCATTTAAACATGGAGGCAGATTTCCTTCTTATCTGATCCATGAAATCTAAGATTTTTTATTTTTTTTGCTTCGGAAGCTTCCTACTCTGTTTGACTCCTTATAACTATTCAGCGCTTTAATAACAGAGTCTTGTTGACCAGAAGGATTGATGTTTATCAGTTAGTCCTCATATAGCTTCACATCTTTTTCCTTTGATTAATTTATTTATTGTTTTTCTACAGGAGAAAATAACCTTAACATATTTAATGACGAAATCTTACACACAGAACCCATCAGAGAGACATTCAGCAAAGCAAACGATCCAGTTTCATCAAAGGAACGTCACACCTCCTGCTGGCAGAAAGGTGTCACTACAAGGCGTCGCATCCTTTGATGTAATGATGAAGTTAACAGCTTTTCTTTTTACCAGCTAAGAAGCAAAGCTGTTCCTTCCATCATTAATTCAGTCATCAAAGGTAGAAATAAAGAAAATGCAAAGATGTTCAGAATCAGAGAATCTATGTGAAGCTCATCTATAAAACATGAACAAACAAAAACAAAAACATTTTTGCAAAGAATAAACTTATATAAGTGAATGAATTTGTTAAACATTGACCTTTTGACCTCTTTCTGCTACTTTGCATCCAGTCTAACTCATCTTGTGTTATTTCCTCATTATTCCACCTTTTCCTCTCGGCTCCGCTGAAGATGTCTGACATGTCGCCACTGCGGATGCTTTTAACACTCTGAGTGAATTTCCTCAGTGTCTGGCTGTAAATCTGCCGCTCCACTCAAAGTCTGCTCGTTTCAGAGAAGTCAGGGAGGGATTTTATTCCTCAGCAGCTGCACATTACAACATGGCTGATCACAGCCGATAATCACCATCTCTCAGTCATCTGATAACCTGTCAACAAATCAATCATTCACCCTGAAAAACCTCGCCGCCGTCCTAAAACAAAGATCCTTTTGGATCGTTTTCCTGCTTGGTCCATCTGTTCTGTAGGCTGTAACTCCAGAGTGGATGACAATCTAATTGCATCCTCATCCCTCTCAGGTTTAATGGGCTGTCAGGTGGCATCGTTACACAACTCTCATTGCCTCCTCACACAATGACACCAGCTGACTGCGTGGCCATGTTATCCTTTCCCTGTGGGGAGAATTTCCCAGGAAGATGCTGCATGTTGAGGCCTTATAGGTACTTGTGGGGACCAGCGACTGGACTCCATGAAGAGAGGTTGGGGTGGGGCTTATTTTCAGGACTAAGGTGTGAGTTGAGGTTTCCGTTAAGTTTATTTATATAGCATTAATTCCTGACACATGTCATCTTTAGGGTTCGGTCAGTGCTGGTAATGTTTAAGGTTAAGGTAAGAAATAAATGCAAAATGAAAAGAAGTCAATGGAAAGTCCCCACAAGGATAGCGTGAAACAACATGTCTGTGTGTGTGTTCCTGGAGGGAAGGACAAACTGAGGCCTGAACTTCAGCAGCATCACAGACCCATAAATAAAGTGTTAAACACATCCACTGAAGCAACAGCTTCAGACGAATGAGTCTGAGCAGCAATAAAACTGTGACTCTCATCTCATGTGTCTGAAGGACAGGCGGCTGAAACTCTACGAAGGAATTCATTTCAGACAATTTGACGTTTGTCAAATTGTCTGAAATGAATTCCTTCCTAGAGTGAATATTTGGTTGAATCATTCATTGCTGTTTAGCAATGAATGATTCAACCAAATACATACAAAAGAGACTAGTTAACATTTCCAAACAAAGTTAGAAACAAAGAGAAATTACATCCATTCATAGAAATCGTCTGAAAGGAAATAAAACTTATTTTTTCTCTCCCTCCAATTACACTTAAATAACTTAAAGTGGAGTAAACTTCCTGTTAAACATGTTTTTTATATAATATTCACACAAAAAGAATAAAACCAAAATAAAAACAAAAACATATATATGTATGTAATGGCAAACCAAGCAGACATTGTGGTGATGGACAGAAAGCAGAGGAAAGCCGCTGTGGTTGCCATAGCGATACCAAGCAACATCAGGAAAATAGAACATAAGAAACTAGAGAAATACCAGGAGCTCAGAGAAGAGCTGGAAGGTCAAGGCATCAGTGGAACCCGTGGTCATTGGGGCCCTCAGGGCAGGGGCCCCAAACTGGAAGAGTTACATCAGATCCTGGAAATACATCAGACATCTCGGTCCAGAAGATGCAGTTGTAGGAACAGCAAAGATGCTGGCAGAACCCTCAGGCTCCCAGGGCTCTGGTAGAGGAACCCAGCTGGGAGGAAAAGGGGGGAGACCACCCACGATGGGTGAGGAAGAGTTTTTATATAGATATATACTAGATATATATAAGAGGAGACACACAAAGAGCAAACCTCAACTCTAATCCTCCAGAAAAGAGGTGATCTGCAGAAAACAGGCCTTTGGCATGAAGAGACCAGAGCCATGAAAAAACAATCTAAAAATGAGTAAAAATGTCTTAAATTAAGTGTATTTACCCTTAATTTGAGTAGATAAATAAGATGATCTGCCAATGGAAGGAGTTTTTTTACTCTTTAAATAAGATAATTAGATATTATCCACTTGAAATAAGACAATTCAATTGTATTTTCTTATTTTAAATGTAAATTGTCTTGTTCCATTGGCAAAGTGTCTCTTTTATCTCCTCAATTCAAGAACAAATGCACTAATTTTAAGAAGAAATGACTTATCTAGATTTATTTTTTCCAGTGTAGAGTAAAGGTCTGTGGATTCCAGGTGAAGATCCGGCTGCTCTGACCTTTTTTTGCTGCTCTTACATTTTCAATCATCACATCTGTTATCAAGGTGTGTTTAAGGCCCTCTTTGGAGTGAAGGTTCAAACAGGAGAAACCTGTAATAAGAGAAAAGACCTCAATAAACGAATCAGTTCAATGAAGTTTGGAGAAAACATTCATCTCATTTGGCTGCACAAGCAGAGGAGCAGCGCGACGGCTGGTCTGCATCAGATGGAGTCCATCAGCACGGAGATCAAAGACTCCACTGGCTTTGTTTCAGAGCTATAAATACTCTCTCCTGTTTCTGAGCAGGTTTCAATCTGATCTAAAATAATCCCGTCTCGTCTCAGATCAATGAGGGCTTTGATCGTCTTTATTTTGAGAAAGAACCAAGTTGTTTTGTGGGAGCAGCTCAGTCTGATGAGCCTTTCTGAAAAATGAAAGATGCTGCTGCCTTTAAAGTCCTGATAAACAGCCTCTTTTAATAAAGTCAGTGTCAAACTAAATCAGGATGATTATGAGTCGGAGTTTTGATCCGATAGACGTTCAGGTAAAGAACAGAGCAAAGGTCCAGGTTCTCAGAGGAAGTTTATGGGTTCTATGTCTGGGAACCGTTTTCTTTAAACTTCAGGTTCCTGCTCAGAAACAGAAGAATCAAAAATCATGTTTGCCTGTTCTGATGGTTTAACTTCATCTCTGATTAATTAATGTTTATCTGTCTTATTGCTGAACTTCTGGACTGTTTCCTGCAGAGAGAAAACCAGACGCACCTTCCTGATGATCCCTGTTTTTCTTTCTTCAAGCTGAATTCATATTATCCAGATAATCAGCCCATCTCCAGCGTTTAACACAGATCCTCCCAAAGGTAATGAAAAACAGAGGCTCCTGTGTCAGATATCTGCTTATGAAACTTTCTCATTTCAGATTTTAATTTGTTTCGATGGAGAATAATGAATTTCTTCTTCTCCAGTTTTTCTTCCAAATGAATGTGACAGTTTCTCCTTCTGCTTCCAGTCATCATCTCAGTTATTAACTGTTGTTATCAGACAGGAAGCAGCCACACATGTTCTGGAGTTTTAAACGTTGTTTTCCTGTTGGCTGTCAATCATTTATTAATAATACTTCTGGGAAAAAAGAACAATGGAGCAGCTGATGATACAATTCATATAAAATTGAGGTGTTGTAGTAATTAAAGGGCGAACCGGTTCCCTGCTCAGCATCTCGACATTAGAAACAATCAATGATGTTTACAGATGTGATGTTTACAGATGTGACGACCCAAAGCATGGAGGCCTTCATATGAATGAGCCGTTTAAAGGCACAGTCCACAAAAACAAGGCAAACACCATCCGAGAGCGAGATGGGATGGTAACCCATGGAAACCGGAGGGTAGCTCCAAACACTGTCCTTCCAAAAGCAGCAGCGTTTAGCTGAAGGTAGCTTCTCCATCCCCAAAAATAAAAACCACAGACCTCCACAGCAGGACGCTGCCACAACGTTCAGCTGCTCTTCACTGTTTCAGAGTCCTGGAGAAGATTCTCAGTCATCCAGGTCAGAGTAAAAAAAATAGGTTAAAAAAACAATCCACTGGACTTTGTTTCCAGGTTTGAAGACGTTTCTCTTCCATCCAGGAAACTTCCTAAATTTCAGTCACTCAGCTTCTTCCCAACTCTTCTAACACTGATCCTGAACTCCAAGCTGACGAGTTCAAAAAGACCTTCGGGTGAAGAGAAGGAGAATTTATTTCATTTAATTTCTGTAGCTCCAATTCACACCATGTCATCTCAGGTCACTTTATAGAAACAACTCAACCAGATCCTCCAGTCAGATTGATTCTAAGTTTTTTTATCTATTTCTCTTTTGTAATCTCTTTTTAAAACCAACCATTTGATCAGCTGGATGGATAATCATCCAGCATAGGTCCATAGATGGAAAAAAGCCAGAGTTGAAAGTCGTTCCCAGTCCGAGTTCCCAGTCCGAGTCTGCCTGCGACTGTGGTCACCTTCCAGATCTTATTTAAAACCTATTT